GGCCTCACCAGAGCCGAGTACAGGGGGACGATCACTTCCCTAGCCCTGCTGGCCACACTGCTTCTTATACAAGCCAGGATGCCGTTGGCCTTCTCGGCCACCTGAGCACACTGCTGGCTCATATTCAGCCGACTATCAACCAATACTCCCAGGTCCTTCTCCGCCTGGCAGCTTTCCAACCATTCCTCTCCCAGCCTGTAGCTCTGCTTGGGGTTATTGCGCCCCAGGTGCAGGACCCGGCACTTGGCCTTGTTGAACTTCATGCAGTTGACCTCAGCCCATCGGTCCAGCCTATCCAGATCCTCCTGCAGAGCCTTCCTACCCTCGAGCAGATCGACACACGCACCTAACTTGGTGTCATCTGCGAACTTACTGAGGGTACCCTCAATGCCCTCATCCAGATCATCGATGAAGATATTAAAGAGGACCGGCCCCAGCACCGAGCCCTGGGGAACGCCACTAGTAACCGGCCTCCAACTGGATTTGACTCCAGTTACCACGACTCTTTGGGCCCGGCTATCCAGCCAGTTTCTAACCCAACGAAGCGTGCGCCAGTCCAAGCCAAGAGCAGCCAGTTTCCTGAGGAGAATGCTGTGGGAAACGGTGTCAAAAGCCTTGCTGAAGTCAAGGTAGACCACATCCACAGCCTTTCCCTCATCCACCAAGCGCGTCACTTTGTCATAGAAGGAGATCAGGCTCGTCAAGCAGGACCTGCCTTTCATAAACCCATGCTGACTGGGCCTGATCGCCTGCTTGCCCTGCAAGTGCCGCGTGATGACTCTCAAGATAATCTGCTCCATGAGCTTCCCTGGCACTGAGGTCAAACTGACAGGCCTATAGTTCCCCGGGTCTGCCCTACGGCCCTTCTTGTAGATGGGCGTCACATTTGCTAGCCGCCAGTCAACTGGGACCTCCCCCGATAGCCAGGACTGTTGACAAATGATGGTAAGCGGCTTGGCCAGCTCCTCTGCCAGTTCTCTCAGTACCCTCGGGTGGATCCCATCCGGCCCCATCGACTTGCGCACATCCAAGTGCCATACCAGGTCACCAACCATTTCTTCGTGGATAGTGAGGGCCACATTCAGCTCCCCATCCCCTTCTGCCAGCTCAGGGTACCGGGTATCCAGAGAACAACCGGTATTGCCGCTAAAGACAGGCAAAGAAGGCATAAGCACCTCCGCCTTTTCCTCATCTTTTGTAACAAGGTTTCCCCCCCCCGCATCCAGTAAAGGATGGAGATTCTCCTTAGAATTTTCCCACTGAATACCTAATTAGATTACCACACCGGAGGAAATAATCTAGCAGATAAAGAATACCACTTAGAATATTCCAATACCACTTAGAATATTCCCACTGAATACCTAATGACTGACAGAATAATCTTATTAGTTTAGAAGCAAAGTGTGTGCCCTGAGCAGAATCAATGTACTGGATTATCCCGTATTTAGGTATCAGGTGTTCTAATAGAATTTTTGCCACCATTTGTGCCGTAGCTCCTGCTACGGGATAAGCTTCTACCCATTGCGTTAAGTGATCTACTATTACCAATAGATATCTTATCCTCCCTACCTGGGGCAATTCAGTGAAACCAACTTGTACCCTCTCGAAAGGCCTATAAGCTGTTTTTCTCCCTCCCGCGGCTGCTTGTCAAAACACTTTCTTATTTATCTTCTGACAAGTTAAGCAACGTGGTGTAATTTGCTTTGCTATTTCAAAAACAAACAATGCAACCAAATTGTTTTAGTAAATGATCACTTAACACCTTTGTACCCCAATGTGTTTGTGCATGCAAACGTCCCAGTATTTGCTTATCGGTTAGAAGACCTCCGCACTCGCTTCGGAACTACGTTCCGTCTCAGTCACACTCTTACACACACACAGGCAACCGAATCCCACCCAACCGAACGGTACACGCCTTAAATGCTTACGACTCCGTCGTCTTCGTTCGGATCTTCGCGCGCAGAATTACGGGCAAAAACAATGCTGCAGCCGGCAAGGGAGCTCATAACAAAATCAAAATCTTTGCTTACCTTTATTCAGGTTCAAGATGGCATTGGTTCCGGACAGGAGCCACCAAATGGTGGGGGCGCCTCTCCTAGATTAAAATCCAGGAACCAAAACCATCCCGGACGAGCCCCTAAGTTGTTATAAATAGCTCAGTCCCAAAATAGGATTATAATCAAAGTTTACAATTTATTAAAAGAATAGAGGTAAGCAAACAGCGCTGGCAAACAGCGCTGGGTGCGCCGGGAGTCTCCGCTCCACCTGGTCGCACACCCGTTACATCAAGATGCTGATTTTTTATGCTCCTAGACTAATACATATTCATTACTATTTCTAAAAAAAAACAAACAACGGAGTTATTATAATTAGTTCCGGAATTTGAACCCTCCTACTGGAGCATGCGTATCAGTCTCTGGTGCTCCCTCTGGGGGTCTTTCATGATGAAGGCTCATAGTCTTCCTCTCAGGCTTTTTTTTTTTTCTTGTCCTTCTTCTTTGTACTCCTTGGCTGTATGTCAAAAGCTTGCACAGCGTTCCCTGCAAGCTTTGTCTTTTAGCCGTCCTTCAGCTTTTCCCTTCTCCCTAATCTCCTGGCCAGATATCAGGGGCTTGCATAGTGTCCCATTCAGAAGTCATAACAGTTAGCAGTTGTTCTGAAACCCCCAGATATCAGAGACTTCAAGGAAAGAACATACGAATACATTTTCCTTCAAGCTCTCCATTGACACGAATTGTTAAAACATTCCTCACAGATCATAATAGGCAAGACGCCTTCAATCAAGGGGTTGGGCCCGCTTTCAGGGTCGATTGGGGCTTGTGTTACCATTCAGTTCAGCCTGTCGGGGTGATCCAGCTCCTGGAAAACAAATCACAATTTTATATGGGTTTATAAAAAAGGTTCTTATGTTATTTTCTCGGGACAACCTGACCTTAGCGCGGGAGAAGTCGGGTCGAGGCCCTCTCACTCGGCGGTCAGTACCCATAGGGGTTGCCTCCCTCGGTAGACCATACACACCGCAGTGGAGAGTCCTGCCCCGGTCTTGCCTTCTCCCTTTCCTCCCTTTAGGCTTGTCCCCTTTATTTGGCGTCCTTAATTCATGCAGAGCGTCACTGCCAGAACATTAGTTCTTCTCTAGCTTTAGTTTCAGTTCCCCAGGAGCGGACTCAACCCTCCAAGTTTCGGTACTTACTGGTCCTTTTATTCTGGATGTGCAGGTAAAACAAGGTACGGTCCCTCCCACCGGGGGTTCAATGATTCTTCCCTCCAGGTTTTTATTAAGACCTTGTCCCCTGGTTGTATCTTATGAATAGCAAATCCTAAAGGTGGCGTTTGAGCCATCACTCCAATTTCTCTTAGCTCTTGCAATCTCCTTCCAAGAGTAATTATATATTTCTGCATGCTACGACCCTCAACTACATTGTTCCCTAGAGGCATCCCTTGAGAATAAGGCATACCATATAACATTTCATATGGCGATAATCCAGTCTCACTGTGTGGTTTAGTTCTTATGTTTAGAAGTGCCAATGGTAAGCATTTCATCCAGGGCATTTGTGTCTCGATCATTGATTTAGCCAATTGTTGTTTTATTGTTTGATTCAATCTTTCTACTTTCCCTGAGCTTTGTGGGTGCCACAGAGTATGGTATTCCCACTGAATACCCAATGATTGACAGAATACTTTTATTATTTTAGAAGTAAAGTGTGTGCCCTGAACAGAATCAATGTACTGGATTATCCCGTATTTAGGTATCAGGTGTTCTAATAGAATTTTTGCCACCATTTGTGCCGTAGCTCCTGCTACGGGATAAGCTTCTACCCATTGCGTTAAGTGATCTACTATTACCAATAGATATCTTATCCTCCCTACCTGGGGCAATTCAGTGAAACCAACTTGTACCCTCTCGAAAGGCCTATAAGCTGTTTTTCTCCCTCCCGCGGCTGCTTGTCAAAACACTTTCTTATTTATCTTCTGACAAGTTAAGCAACATCGTGTAATTTGCTTTGCTATTTCAAAAACAAACAATGCAACCAAATTGTTTTAGTAAATGATCACTTAACACCTTTGTACCCCAATGTGTTTGTGCATGCAAACGTCCCAGTATTTGCTTATCGGTTAGAAGACCTCCGCACTCGCTTCGGAACTACGTTCCGTCTCAGTCACACTCTTACACACACACAGGCAACCGAATCCCACCCAACCGAACGGTACACGCCTTAAATGCTTACGACTCCGTCGTCTTCGTTCGGATCTTCGCGCGCAGAATTACGGGCAAAAACAATGCTGCAGCCGGCAAGGGAGCTCATAACAAAATCAAAATCTTTGCTTACCTTTATTCAGGTTCAAGATGGCATTGGTTCCGGACAGGAGCCACCAAATGGTGGGGGCGCCTCTCCTAGATTAAAATCCAGGAACCAAAACCATCCCGGACGAGCCCCTAAGTTGTTATAAATAGCTCAGTCCCAAAATAGGATTATGATCAAAGTTTACAATTTATTAAAAGAATAGAGGTAAGCAAACAGCGCTGGCAAACAGCGCTGGGTGCGCCGGGAGTCTCCGCTCCACCTGGTCGCACACCCGTTACATCAAGATGCTGATTTTTTATGCTCCTAGACTAATACATATTCATTACTATTTCTAAAAAAAAACAAACAACGGAGTTATTATAATTAGTTCCGGAATTTGAACCCTCCTACTGGAGCATGCGTATCAGTCTCTGGTGCTCCCTCTGGGGGTCTTTCATGATGAAGGCTCATAGTCTTCCTCTCAGGCTTTTTTTTTTTCTTGTCCTTCTTCTTTGTACTCCTTGGCTGTATGTCAAAAGCTTGCACAGCGTTCCCTGCAAGCTTTGTCTTTTAGCCGTCCTTCAGCTTTTCCCTTCTCCCTAATCTCCTGGCCAGATATCAGGGGCTTGCATAGTGTCCCATTCAGAAGTCATAACAGTTAGCAGTTGTTCTGAAACCCCCAGATATCAGAGACTTCAAGGAAAGAACATACGAATACATTTTCCTTCAAGCTCTCCATTGACACGAATTGTTAAAACATTCCTCACAGATCATAATAGGCAAGACGCCTTCAATCAAGGGGTTGGGCCCGCTTTCAGGGTCGATTGGGGCTTGTGTTACCATTCAGTTCAGCCTGTCGGGGTGATCCAGCTCCTGGAAAACAAATCACAATTTTATATGGGTTTATAAAAAAGGTTCTTATGTTATTTTCTCGGGACAACCTGACCTTAGCGCGGGAGAAGTCGGGTCGAGGCCCTCTCACTCGGCGGTCAGTACCCATAGGGGTTGCCTCCCTCGGTAGACCATACACACCGCAGTGGAGAGTCCTGCCCCGGTCTTGCCTTCTCCCTTTCCTCCCTTTAGGCTTGTCCCCTTTATTTGGCGTCCTTAATTCATGCAGAGCGTCACTGCCAGAACATTAGTTCTTCTCTAGCTTTAGTTTCAGTTCCCCAGGAGCGGACTCAACCCTCCAAGTTTCGGTACTTACTGGTCCTTTTATTCTGGATGTGCAGGTAAAACAAGGTACGGTCCCTCCCACCGGGGGTTCAATGATTCTTCCCTCCAGGTTTTTATTAAGACCTTGTCTCCAGGTTGTATCTTATGAATAGCAAATCCTAAAGGTGGCGTTTGAGCCATCACTCCAATTTCTCTTAGCTCTTGCAATCTCCTTCCAAGAGTAATTATATATTTCTGCATGCTACGACCCTCAACTACATTGTTCCCTAGAGGCATCCCTTGAGAATAAGGCATACCATATAACATTTCATATGGCGATAATCCAGTCTCACTGTGTGGTTTAGTTCTTATGTTTAGAAGTGCCAATGGTAAGCATTTCATCCAGGGCATTTGTGTCTCGATCATTGATTTAGCCAATTGTTGTTTTATTGTTTGATTCAATCTTTCTACTTTCCCTGAGCTTTGTGGGTGCCACAGAGTATGGTATTCCCACTGAATACCCAATGATTGACAGAATACTTTTATTATTTTAGAAGTAAAGTGTGTGCCCTGAACAGAATCAATGTACTGGATTATCCCGTATTTAGGTATCAGGTGTTCTAATAGAATTTTTGCCACCATTTGTGCCGTAGCTCCTGCTACGGGATAAGCTTCTACCCATTGCGTTAAGTGATCTACTATTACCAATAGATATCTTATCCTCCCTACCTGGGGCAATTCAGTGAAACCAACTTGTACCCTCTCGAAAGGCCTATAAGCTGTTTTTCTCCCTCCCGCGGCTGCTTGTCAAAACACTTTCTTATTTATCTTCTGACAAGTTAAGCAACATCGTGTAATTTGCTTTGCTATTTCAAAAACAAACAATGCAACCAAATTGTTTTAGTAAATGATCACTTAACACCTTTGTACCCCAATGTGTTTGTGCATGCAAACGTCCCAGTATTTGCTTCGCATAAGCTTTTGGCCGTCGCCTGTCTGGCAGCGTCCATTTTCCTTGTTCTAACTTAGCCCCCATTTTCTCCTGTTTCGTTTGTTTGTTTTGTTTTGTTTTGTTTTCCATTGCATTTCAAAGTTGGTCCAAAAATTCCATAGGGGTTTCTTTTGGACCTTGTTGGAACTGATTCTCCATTCCCAATTTAACCAGATTTTGGTATTTACCGTTCATTATTTCCGGGGTGACTATAGTCTCAGTGGGGGGTCGGTCAGGGGAATGCAATTGTCAGCAGTTCCCTGAGCGGTCCCATCGGCAATCTGAGCTCACTCATAAACTCAGGTTGTTTTAAGAGTTAGCTGCTCTTCTGTTTCCATGACAACTCTCTCGGACCCATCATGGTCCCTCTGCCCCAAAGGGCTCACACCGGTGATTTTGAGATCACAGCCTCCTGTTGAGGCAGAACTATTAACATTCCTACATCCTCTTTCCCTGCTCATTCACCTTCAAACAGCTCTGTTAAATACTACATGCCGCACCTTTAACACCGTCGACAACTCTTTTAACACTTCCTTTTATCTTTCTCCAGCCTGTACTTTTCTCATGCCAACACCAAAGGCTCAGTCAAGGGCCAATTAATTCCACTCCTTTTCTCTCTAAGATGCTGAAACAACCTATCAGTATACTACATTTCATCCTATTTTCCTTCTCTCCTCAAAAACATTAGTTGCAAGATAGCCTTATAGTCGATTGATCCATAAAGTGGCCATTTAGCTTATGTAGTGGCCACCATTGATTGCAATACTTAGTGAAAGTCCTCTTCCTTTCCCTGCCCCCAGTTCTAACAATATCCTTCGAATGTGCCAATATGCACCCAAGGAGGCTTTCTTTAAAACGTCTTTGTTTTGGATGTTACCCGTTTCCTTGATTTCCCATTCCCTTTTATTTATTTGTTTATTACTATTCCTTACTAGTTACCGTCCTTTGCTTCAATTTCCACGCAAACCTTTTTACTGCGGGTTTTTTACCATCTTTTCCTAATCTTCTTCCCTAATGCCCCAATTCTCTGGGATTGAACGCTTCTTCCCACGTACAAACTTTACTATTTCAGATTATTAATGAGCCCCGTTCCAATCATAAAGCCACGGAACTTCAGGAAAACAGCTGAAGCACTCAGCCTTCCGTCTTCTAGACGAACATGACCACCGTTTCCACAAAATTGACATTTCAACAGGACCGAATTTCAAGCCGATTTTTCTCATGCGCTTTCTTAGTGAGCCCATACAAAACAAGGAATCACTCCTGTGTATCCGTCAATATGGGGGGTTTAAAAAGGTATTGAGGCCTAAATAAATTCGCTCTCCCCCTTCTTACCGAATTCCCAGGGCTCAAACCCGAACCACCAAAGAAATGACTCTCTCCGTTCTACCGCTTCGATAATCAGTCAGCCCCCTCCCCCTCTCCAGTACTTGGGAAACTGACCAAACACCACAGCAAATACGCCAGGGCTTCTAAACTGTTAGTTACTTAGATAATGCTCCCGCCTTTTTTCTTGTCACACTCAAAGCATTTAAGAGCAAAAATAGGATCACAAGATACACTGCCAGGCCCATATATTGGGCACCACCAATCAACACTTGGATAAAACAGCACTTCTTTTCGGTCTGTCACGCACTTCGCTCGTCTCCGGCCGCTCCCCTCACGGAGAACACGGAACCGCGGATCGGAACTCCGCACTCGCTTCGCAGCGACGCTGCGTCTCACTCCCACAGCACAATCATGCAATCACACAGAGAGGCCTCTAGCACATCTCATTCATACCACAAGAATATAATTTAGAATGATAACCAACCAAACGAGTATTGTCTCTGACCGTGTTCTTCGTGGAGTGACTCATTCCACTTGGTTTCAAACCCTTACACTTACACAAATGCTTTCAACACAAAATACCTGGACGTTTAAGAATAAGACATACAATTATTAACACTCCAGTTAGTATCCCTCCAGCAGCTGAAAACATACCGCTTGTCCGCAGCTTCAGGAGGCCTTTGTCTGCTCCTGCGGTGAGCGGCCGAGAGTGGAGTCCCCTCCGAGCAAAACACTCAGGGTGCACCTAGGGGCGTCCGCTAATCATTATTCCTTAATGGACTTTCTGGTGGTATGTCTGGTAATTTGCTCCCTTTCTTCTGGTCCTTGGTCTTCAATTCTGTCTGAACCATCTAGGAATTTTACTATGGCAATTCCCACAGCCCTTGGTTACCTTAGTAAGAGTGTCTTGCAGGGGGTTTAGGACCTATCACCCACCCACGAATGCTATAGGAATCGCTTCGGTCCTTCACCGGCCAAGTCCCTCGCGGGAGACTGGAGCCGCGGTTAGAAGACCTCCGCACTCGCTTCGGAACTAAGTTCCGTCTCAGTCACACTCTCACACACACAGGCAACCGAATGGTACACGCCTTAAATGCTTACGACTCCGTCGTCTTCGTTCGGATCTCCGCGCGCAGAATTACGGGCAAAATACAGTGCTGCAGCCGGCAAGGGAGCTCATAACAAAATCAAATTCTTTGCTTACCTTTATTCAGGTTCAAGATGGCATTAGTCCCGACCTGACTCGAACAGGAGCCACCAAATGGTGGGGCGCCTCTCCTAGATCAAATCAGAATTCAGGAACCAAAGCCATCCCGGACGAGCCCCCAACCGTTATAAATGACAATTCCCCCCTTTTCTTCTTTATAAACCGTTGATTTTTGAAAAACCTTTCTCTAAGGTGTAATTTGGTAGATTTCTTCTTCTCCTTCGCTTTCCATCTCCTCATTGTCACCTTATCTGAGTAAGGTGGTGGCTCCATGGTCATTCGTTTCAATAGTGCGGTTTCAGTTAACCACTGTACTAGTCCTCTTACACGGGGGATAACGCAGCAACCAATGGCTGTCAAAACTCCTACAACTACGATCAAGGATGTAAATATGCCTACTTTTTCTGCCAATTCACTGGCAAGGGTGGTAAGCCCTTGCAATGCTCTAGTTACTGAGCCATCTGGGGCAGTATTGCTGGGTATAAGAGTGCAACCATGGTTGCTCAGTATCTCACACACACACCCCACCTCCTTCCTCCGCGAGCATCATATCTAATGATGTTCTGTTTTCCCAAGCCATTTTGCTGGTGGCATCTAGTTGTTCAGCGATTCCTCTCATCGCATCCCTTGTATAATTTATGACTCTCTGCTGATTAGAATAAATATAATTAATCCAATCCACATTCTTATTGATCGTTACCCACCAGAACAGTGACTCAAACCCTGCAGCAATTTGATTCCTGGCTTTCTGTTCATCGGAAACTCCTCTAGGCACCCCAAAAGAATCTATGTATACTCTGTCATCGAATGATACTCCTAAGCCTCTTTAACTTCTTCTGGGTATTTGTGATGTTTCTCTTTCAAATGCCAGGGTGAAGGGTATAGCTAATCGAACAAGCGCACAAGTGCCTCCCCAGTTATATGGTAGGGTGGACCGTAAGATCTTCCCTCCACCGTACCACCGTACCACCAGAGATCTGCCCTGGGTGGGGATCTCAAGTCTTGAGCAGTTTCCCATCAAGTCCTTGGTAGCACAAGGCAAATTCTCCCAGATGCTGGGCAGCACTCACACCCTGCCGTGAGAGGCAAGCTGTATGGTTACCTATAGCTGTAGAGAATGCAGGGGGAACCGCGATGTTGCTATCGCGCAAGGAACAGCAAAGAGAGACTTACGGGCCTCATTTCCCCAGGCAGTCTTTTCTTGGTACAATGTAATCATACATCGCATCCCCTGGGAATCCTTGGTCACACTTAAAACATCTTATCAAAGCCTGTCCCTGCTAGGATTCAGGCCACAACACAGGCAGCCTTCTTTGCCTGCCATTCCTTCATCTCTCTTCCTCTCCTTTCCATCCTGGCCCTGACTCCCCCTGAAGATTTTCTTCCTCTTTCTCCAACCCTCTGCCTCACTACCCGCTGCACTGTCAATACCATTAGTTTCGCTCTCTGCTTTTCCTTCTCATCTCCCCTCCGGACACACACCTCCAGGGCCTCCCGCAGGAGGGTCCCCCAGTGACTGTTCACTACAGCCCCCCCACCTTCTGGAGCATTTTCTGCGTATCTCGCCAGGCTTTAATCACACAATGAACTTTCAAGAGCCCTTGGGATACCGGGTCCTTGGGACTCATCCCCGAGTACTTTCTCATTCTGACCCCAAGCCTCTCATATGATTTCTGTGTTGCACACTATTGTTACTCCAGCCAGGATTGGCAAGTGGGTATTTCTGCTCTGCCGGTATTACCCCTGGTCCTGGAGGATGAGCTCTTTCCCATTCTTGTATAGCAGCTCTCCACCTGATCATTCCCATTTCTTTCCCTGTAAACAACATACTTACAGGCATAATTCCCTTCCCCAAGAGTATAAGTCAGGTCGTAGGAACTGGTCTAATTGTTCAGCTAGGCTGTTGGGGTCCTCGAATAAACACTTCCTCTCCTTCTTAAAAGTCCTAACCTCTCTGCTGCTAAGGACGGGGGGTAGTTCACCTAAGAGGATACACGGTTAGTGTTAGTACTGTTAGTACCAGGGAAGGCAAAATTCTCAACATATCTTCTACCTTGTTCTAATTCTTGACAGAGCCTAGAGCACGATCCTTCTTTAGGGACAGTGTTAACTACAGTCCCTGTCTCCCTTCCTGGAGTGACTGCTGCTGCCACGGGTACAGTATTAGGATTATAGGGAGCATAACTTGGCTCCTTCTCCGAAAAAGGAAGCTTATTGTTTACACATAAATGTAAAGCCTGAATTTTCATCAGACCCCTATTTTGGCCAAAACACTGCTGTTTCCTTAATTGGTTCTTTTGTCCAGACTGATACACAATATTTAATTTTATTTTTTTTTCTTTTACAATCTCCTCTAATTTTGGGATTATGTTTCCAATTTCTTATCATTCTTCAGGAAGAACTGTTGGTAGGCACTTGTGGAGGAATCGTTAAGTGAGGCAGGACATGTGAATGTTGAGCAGTTGGGAGACAATGGGCTGGTGAAGCACCGTACTCAACTCACATGAGCCTTGGCACGTATGCAGCTGGCTGAGAGCCAATCAGGCTCAAGGACACGATGCCCTTGGGCCATCGGGAAAGTCCCTAAGGCGGGACAGGTAGCCAAAAGAAGGAGGACCAGACTGAAAAGCCCGGGAAGTGTTAACCAATCCTGAGCTTAGTTTCTGCAATATGTATGAGTTGATTATGTTCAAACTAGATAAAAGACGACTGAGCTATCCATTAAAATTGAAGTTCACTGTTCACTCATATTGAGCGTCTGGGTCTTCCTTCCGTCGGCAACAAATTGGCGCCCGAACAGGGACCGGTCTGAACGGGATTTGGACACTGCTGGCAGCGATCCAGGGCCACGGTTGGACGGAATAAAGGAGAAGCCGGTCCTGCAACGCAGCCCAGGAGGTGAAAAGGACAAGAATCCCTGCACCCGCGCCGGGAAGGTGAAAAGGACGTGGAGTCCCCCGCACCCGGGAGTGGATCCCGCCGGTCGCGCGTCGCCGAGATCTGCAGCTCGGAAGGTGGAAGGGAGTCCCCGCACCCGGGATGAGCCTATTTAGGGTCCCGCCGGAAAAGCGCCGCCGAGGTCTTTGCAAAGGCTGCAATCGACGTATATAAAGGTATGAAAAGATAAGCGGCGTATTATTTGCTCAAATGCTTTTTAGAAAAGCGGAGCATTTTAGATATAGATTGTAGAAAAAGATTTGCCAGGGTTATTAGTATATGGGCTAGCTAAGGGTTGTTTTACAAATCCTGATACAGTTTTTTGAACAAACAGAGTGGCGTAAATTTGGAAATAAATTGTTTGATGATGTTAGGAACGATGTTAAGTTTACTGGGAGATTTGATGAGGCCATGGAGAGCAGTGGCTAATGCATTAGCCACACATAAAGATGAGCAAAGAGTTGCCGCTGCTGCAACAGAGTGGTTAGGACCACCAAGAAGGGTTAATAATGTTAATCCACAGCAAATAAATATGGAAGGAATAGATTGCCCGTTGCCACCTTCCGTTAGAACTTTTACTATTACACAGGGGGCCTCGGGAATTTCGGGGGTGCCTGTGACAATGTCCTCTGTAGCAGAGGAGGAGCTCTCACTACCAACAGCTCCAACTGCTCCAATAGAAAGTGAGAAAGGAGCAAGTGAAAGGACCAGTGCTAACTCATTTCTATCAAATATAAATCCCTTCACAACGGGGGCGCAGGGAAGAGAAGGTCTGCAGCCATCGAAGGCCTTTGCTGTTACGCCCCCTGTTGACCTGAACGTGCCTTTTGACCCAGGCCCTATTGGCCTTGGAAAGGAGCGATGAAGGCAAATAGCAAATGAGGCACTGCGTGAAGGGAATTATGAAACGGCAGCACAGTTAACACAAGCTTTTCCGGTAGTATACTCGCCACCAGATGCACAGGGGAATGTGACCATTAATATGACAAATTTATACTGGAAACTACTAACTCAATTACGATCTACAGTAAATGATTCTGGTTTAAAGGGGGAACCTACTCGGCAAATGTTAGATTATATTTGGGGAACTAATATATTGCTCCCCGGGGACATACGTGGTATAATGAAGCTGATCCTAACACAACACCAACAGCTTCTTTTTAATGCGCATTGGCAAAGTGTTTGTCAAGAGGCAGTAGCTGTGATAAGGGCACCTGGAGATCCGTTGTATGGTGTCACGTTGGAGGAATTGATGGGACTCGGACCATATTATAGATTAGAGACACAAGCGTTGCTGGGTCCAGACAAAGCTAAAGAATCAATGAGATTGGCTCGAAGAGCCTTGGACCAAATTAGAGAGCCAGGGGGGATACCATCCTATATGGGCATCAAGCAAGGAAGGGAGGAACCATTTGGGTTGTTTATTGATCGAGTAGCAAACGCAATACAAGCGGCTGGGGTACCTGATTATCTAAAGGGCACTATTCTAAAGCAGTGTGCAATTCAAAACTGCAACCCTTCAACTCGTAGTATATTAGCTACGTTACCGGGAACTTGGACAATTGAGGAGGGTTTAGAAAGGATGGCTCAGGTACCCGTGGGTCCGCAGGCTATGCTGGTAGATGTAATAAAACAACTAGGGAATAGCATGAAAGAACAGGCACAGGTATTCAGAGAGACTGCACAGCAATCGCAGAATCAAGTACTCGCTGCCCTTGCTCCTTTGCAAATGCCCGGAGGCCGTCCTACTGGCCGAGGGTCTTCACTGCAACCGCGTTGTTTTCGCTGTGGGATCACCGGACATAGGAAACGAGATCAGTGTGGTGTCATCTGTCGGTATGGTGCGTCGGGAAACGGCCAGAGCAGCGGGAAGGACCGCCCCGCGACGACACAAAAAGCAGCATTTACCACAGCGGCCGGAACGACACCGTTTACCTC